TGATTTTTGGTCGATTAAATTGACCATTGACTACTTGAAAATTTGTTTAAACTTATCATTAATTGAACGTCAAAATAGAATATGCTAGTATCAGATCAATATAGATGTAAGATTTCATGAAATGAATTTATTCATTGTCATTTTGCAAACTCAATTTTAGGACAAATGAAAATTTCTTCAAGTCGCAAGTACCTGTTGGTCAACCCTTCTATATGTAATGAAAGTCATGAAAACGTTACGTTCACGTGCGACGCTGAGTACCATGGACCAAGTGATTTAAAACTGAATTGGATGCGTTGGACACGGTGAGTATTAATTTCGTGATGGTATTTGTATTTGGCTATGTGGTATTTTTATTCCATCTGAATACCTACCAATGTGCGATTTTAGCAAAAAATAGTAAAATTTAATTGCCGTTAAGTTTTTTCAAATTTTATTTCCTTTTGAATAAATTTGTTCAAAAAATTGAATTATCCTATTTCGTCAAAACGATTTTCAAATTTTATTTATCGATTTTTTTCGAAATCTATTTTACTTGTTCAGACATTTCATTTGTGTACTATTTCACGCTGAAACTAATTCATGCGTGGATTAAAAATTAAACTTTTGCTCAGTCCAATCAGCAAAAGATCGTTTGAGCAAGCAAATACGACTTCACAGAAGAAACTGCCAAAAACTGTTTCGCTGTCTAAGAAAATTGGGCTCGACTTATTAACGTTTGTAATTGAGTTTGTCTTCATGTTATTAAACGATTGTGTTTTTCAACTTTTCTTATTGCCCTTATGAATACTTGAATGTACATACATCCAAATGATTGATTGATTAGTTGACTAATTAATTATTAGACTTGATCAATTAATAACTCTACCTTCTACAAACATTCTTCTATCTAAGTACTTGCAAAATTTTATTTGAACTCCAGTCTAATGTTATAACATTTCAGTCACTGTCTTTGAGTGTACAATATCATGTGTATTGGTTTTAATTAATTTAGTGGGAGCTTGTTATCTGGATTTTCGGTTAATGAAATCAATCGCTCCTCGGAATCAAATTGTGAAAAACAGAATTTAAGCACTTAATTTTTTCCTGACAAAATATCCCGCGTTAGACCATTTTTTAAAAAATACATTAGTATATGGTTTAGGTCAATAATATTTGGTTAACGATAGCAACCGCTCAATTGGACTACTTTGCTTAAGTAATTCATTAACTGGATTCCAGTTTGTATAAATATTTTTAGAACGAAAGATTCAATTAGTGGAAATGAGTTGAATAATTTAATAGTGCTTGCTAAATAAAAATTCATATTATTTATATTTCATTCAAGTGAGGATTTAAACTCAAAAAAGCTCGTGTGCACGTTAGAAAGTACAGAAGACGGACTAGCAGATTATAAAAAAGTTGAATATGCTCCTGACGTTCAACGTGTTGGTACGTTTTTTCGGTGATGCCATCGATCGTTCATCTTCCAATTTGTTTGTTCAATCATTAAACTCATTCTTCATATCTTATTTAACTTTTGAAAATGATAATCAAACATTTTTTTATTTTTTCACCAACTAAGATATAGGCTCATATGAGCTCGTAAAAGTGCATGCAAATAAGGACAATAGAGATGTCTCGGCGTACGAATGCAAGATCAACTCAAACGTATATTGCAATGTACAAAAACTAATGCTGAAAGGTTAAGACAAATTTGTTGGACCAATTTTTGTTTAATGTTGTTTTTTCACAATTTCATAAGAACATATTGATAAAATTGTGAGCATTTTTAAATGGAAATATTTCAATTAATTTTTTTCTTAAAAATACTAGTTATATTTTTTAGTTTGCGTGTTTAAGTTAGATGATACAAAATTTTTATTTGGGTTGTGTTTATTTGCTTTTTTTGATGAATTAGAGCAAATTACGCTTCATTAATATAAATGTGAAGTGTAAATCTTATCAGCCATATTGAGTCATATTGCTTTCTTGCAAAATTAGGTCCTCTCATTGGCCGGGCTCTGCTAAGATATTCTGCTAACTACAAAAAAATTTCTTAAAAATATTTCTCATATTTGCAAGTAAAATTTTGAAACCCCATAGAAAAACAATCTTAAAACATAAATATGAGTTTGAAATTTTAATAATAAATAAAAAATCAAATTGTATTTAGACTTCGATTTCAATACAACAAGCTGTTTTTGCCAGTTCGAATGTAGTTTTGCAGACACCAGCTGTAAGTTGTACTTGCTAAAGCAAGTGCACAGTGAAGAAATTTCATAACTAAGCCTGGTAAAAATTTATTCAAATATTTTGTAAAACCTGCTTCAATTTAAAAAATATGTTTAAATACTTATTCATTTTATTCTATTAGGATAAAAACATACCGTAACTATTGTATATTTAAATTAACTTAACAAAATTCATTTAAGATTTATGACGACGTTATTTTATTTCAAAGTTCCAATTACTACGGTTAAGGCTGTGAATGGTAAAAAAGAAAAACTCAAGTTTAGAATGGAATTTGAAACATGCTACTTTAAAGACAGGAAAATCTATCCAAGAGACTCTGATGCTACTAATAATCAAATAATGTTGGTTTCATAAAGATTGATTTTCATACGCCTAATAGTGTTGACGCTTCATGAATATAGGTTATCTGTTATTTGTTCATTAAAAACTTAATTTTTTTTCTCAATGAAACTTTCCAATTTTTCAAACAAATGCAGGTTTGTGAACAACAAAACTATTGAAATTCCAAGCGTTAGTTGGTCTCACGAGGGGCAGTTCAAATGTAGAAATGCAGCTGGTGACGAGGAAGTAATAGAATTAATTGTTTCTAGTGAGTTCAGTCTAAATTTTGTTGAATAGATTTTTTGTTTGTTTATTTCATATTTATTAAAGTTAATTATATTCTGCCAAATTGGAATTGTAAATTATTGTTTCATCGGTTTGTAAATTAATTGAAATATTATAACCGAGCACTGTTTCTAGGATTTTTTAAGCAAGCGTAAAGCAAAAATTGCAGTTAAATTTTGCATTTATTCTTTGAAATAGAATACTAGCGTTATAATATTAATAATAGTGATTTTTTTTATTATTTTATTTATAATTATTATTATACTAATCATCATAATTATGAAAAACAAGGGCAAAGACAAACTTCCCCAATGTCTGCAACCCAACAAACATTAACTAACAAACAATTAAACATATAAACATACGAATATGATTATATGTTTAATGCAAAGTTCAAACAATTTGAAACAAAGAAAGAATATGATAGAATAAATTCAGTTCTTAATTTAACATGAGACTTCTTATCTCTTCTGAATTGACGACCAATTTTAGCTAGTTGAAAAATGGAACAGAATGATGCATAAATTTGGTTTCATTTGGCCGAATTTTCGAAATTCACAAATATTAGGTATTGCCCTACTAAAAACGTATTTGTTACAAATGAAAAATCAAAATAACCTATCAAGTATTATATTATTTTTACAACAACATCATTTATTCCAAACCCCCGTTACTATTGCTTATGCGGTCTATGGTCAAAAGATAACACTTAATTATACTATGGAAGTCAAAAAATGCTACTTGAGAAAAGAAAGAATCGTTCCAGAATCGATCGATGGTATAAAGTGAGTTTCATGGAAATTGTTGCAAATAGAGAAAATATTTTATAGACAATTTATTCTCTTACATATGCAAAATAGTGATCAATAGATTTTATCTATATTTGAGTATTCGTATTATTCACGGCGTACGAAATTATAATACATAACATCTTATTTCATTGCAGGAACTGAATGGATGATCAACTCAACATGATGACAGGCGATTTTGATTTTAAATAACACAATTTAGTTATGTTCGTTGATATTAAACATTTAGTTGCTACGTGTTTAGTTAAATTTCCTTAATTGCGATATATTTCATCGACTACCGCTTCAACTCCACAATTGAAGATGAGAAATGGACTGTATCACTCAAAAAACTCACCGACACGTTAAACGTCAGGTGCGTATTCAAATTTATTATTAGCTGGTTCACTTTCAACACTCTCTAATGTGCACACCAGTTCTTTTGGGTTCAAGTTTTCACTTCGGAAGAATTTAAACTTTATATATTTTTATTTAACTGGCGTTTTTAAATTATTCATTTTTTTCATCCTTAGGTTTAATGACTCCATTTTTACTAATTGATTCAATAATTGTGAATCAGTTTTTGCGAAATTGCAGCCGGTTATAGGATTATTTTAGAACTACGCAAATCAATATCCACCTCACGCAACATATAATAATCATTCTTCCGCATCACAATCGGTTAAGAATTAGCTAGCTTTACCTTATTTAATTAATTAAAGTAAGTCAGACAGTTAAAATTTTGCTGGTGTCCTCTTACTGCCATATGAGGCGTCGTCATTAAAGCAAATTAAATTTTGCCTATGATTTGATACTTTTTATTCTTTCTTTCTCTTTAAAATTAAAATCATAGGCAAATTAAATTTTGCCTATGATTTGATACTTTTTATTCTTTCTTTCTCCTGCCCAATCCTTTCAGGACATTAGCGACCATCGACCTCCACAAAACCCGATCTTTAACACTTTTTAAGAATTGAAATGGGGTAATTTTCAACAAGTGACACAAAGACTTCACGAATGTTATTCATTGTTGACTGCGATCTCTTTTCCAGTAGTTGTTAGATTTTCTATTCTTTCCTTCCGCATGATGTGACCAACAAACTTTGACTGCCCCCGTCGGATTATCTTTAGTAATTTCTTCTTTTCATAACCGGACTGTTTTAATACATCCTCATTTGAAGTATGAGAGGTCCAGCTAATTTTCATAATTTTTCTCTAAAACCACATCTCAGCAGTGTTAATCTTTTTTTGCATTTATTTAGAAATTATTTTGGACTCAGAGCCATAAGTTAGCACAAGAAATAATGTAACACCCTAATTGTTTTAATTTTGTTCATATTCTGATTTTACTGTTGGTGAGGTTGATATCCGTATCACATTTACAACCTGGGGTAATCAGACTTCCGAGATTATTGAAGCTGTTGACTTGTCTCACCAGTTTACTACTAATGCTAATGGAGAAGATTGGGGCGGTTTTGCTTTTACTGATTTATGTATTCTGTTTTGTTGATTTTAATTTGCAAGCTTTTTATATTACTTTTAAAACTAGTTTAAAAACAATTGTGTGCAGTTTTTCCATTGAATCTGGTACAAGAGCTGTATCAAGAGCATATATTACATTGTTAAAATTCACGCCACTAACGGATATTCCAGGTAGATCTCCTATCTTTCTCATGATGATCTCACTTTAGAGATTGTACAGGTCTGGAGACAGTACACAGCCTTGCCTAACACCTTTCCTTATTTCGACAAAACTAGTCATCTTGTTGCCAACTTTCATTGCTGTTCTTTCTTCCCAATAGAGGTTTTTGATAACTCTCGTGTTTTTTCTATCAATGTCAAAATTTTCTAATATTTTCATAAGCTCCACGTGTTTCACGCTATCGAAATCTTTGGAGTAATCGACAAAACATATAAACAAGACTTTCTACAATTCAATCGCTTGTTTACTGATCATTCGTAGCATAAAGATAGCGTTTCTTGTGCCACAATATTCGCTTGTTTACTGATCATTCGTAGCATAAAGATAGCGTTTCTTGTGCCACAATATTCGACAAAACCATATTTGACATTTGAAATTTCAGATCAGATTTTGCTTCGTGCTTCTATCATCAAAATTTTTAAGAGAAGTTTTGTGAGATGACTCATCAAGCTGATTCGATGTAGTTCACATTCCGTTGCCTTACGTTTTTTAGGCAATGCATTAAATATTGATTTGGATATATCTTCAGGAATTTTGCCGCTGTTATAAATCTCATTCAAAATTTCTGTCACTTTTTTAATTCCAAATTCATCAAAGCATTTAATTTCTTCAACAACTATCTCACCTGGACCAGGCGCTTTATTTGATTTCATTTTCAGATCTAAGTGTCTTTGGCCTTTCTACGTTTTTTTTTAATAGAAGGGTTTTCACCGCACCACGGATATTATCAAAAAGATCTTTAATGTTGTAATAAGCATAATAAGATTGTAATAAGCCATTGATCTCACAAACCGGGAATCCGATTAACCAGCCCCTACTATAATTGAAAAGAATAAATAGGATTTGTACAAAGACGATGATCAAAATGTCAGTACCTAGAAAAAAATTTGCAGTTTATTTAGAAGGCTAGCAAAGATTAGAGTTATCCATTGATCAAGTTCAACAATGCGATTTGGATAATCAATCATTTCAACAATCAATTCACTATATAACTGTGCATATTAAACTTATCATTAACAAAATTGTATTAAAGTAAAACATACTTGTTAAATCACACAAAAACAAAAATATTCACGAACGCTGTTAAGTTTAGCAAAATTTTCTTAGACAGGAAATAAGTTCTTGGAAGTTTATTTTGCGAAATCGTAGCTGTCTGCTCGACAGACCTTTTACGGATTGGTCTGATTGAAATAACAGTTAAATCGTGAATTTATTTTAGTGTGATGTAAAACACAAAATAATTTTATTATTTTTGGAATTCAATTTTTAAGGAAATCATCTTCCAGAAGTGTTTTTCAACACCTAGATCTAAACATCAATATAATTTCAATGTTAAAATTCACCGTGTCCAACGCATCCAATTCAGTTTTAAATCACTTGGTCCATGGTACTCAGCATCGCACGTGAACGTAACGTTTTCATGACTTTCATTACATATAGACGGGTTGACCAACACATACTTGCGACTTGAGGAAGTTTCAAATTTTTCTACGAAATTAGAAAGATTTTTCGGATAAAATTTAAATTATACGACCAAGTTCGGACAGCAGTGAACTCACTGATAACATTCAGTTCAATGGTGTGTAGCACACCGGCTGAAGTGAAGCACTTGTACGTTCCAGCGTCCTCTTTCTTAACAGGAGAGAGTTTGAGATATTTTCTGTTTTCTAATTTATTCCTAGAAGGTTAATAATAATACAGAATAAGTAACAAACGATAATTTTGAAAAAATAAAGTTCTTTCACATGTAAGCTGCGATGTTTTTTCTAACAACTTACTCAACGAGATTCATGTCGTTGAACAAAAAGTTGTCGCATTCGTCTCCATTGAAGCCATGCATAAGCCAGGCCTTTTCATGAGCCAGAATTATTTTAACTGGAGTACTAAAGGTGTAATCTTATTTGTGAAGAGAAATAAAAATTTTGTTTAGTAGTGTCCTTTTTCAATTTTTATTGCTTCACTTTTTAAACTCAGCTTTGTGCATGAACTAATAACAAAAAATTTGAAAATCGAGTTAGATTATGATCTTATCTAAAAACAAGTATCAGGTAAAAACGTTTATAAAGTTTATTATAAATAAGTGAGTGTGTGAGTGAGTGAGTGAGTGAGTGAGTGAGTGAGTGAGTGAGTGAGTGAGTGAGTGAGTGAGTGAGTGAGTGAGAATGAGTGAATCAAAAAATGAATGAAATTTGGTGCACCCAAACACGATTAGCAAATTTATAATGCTTTTATTGATATTAGCAAAATTATAAAACGTAATTTGTAGCAACCTTGCTAATCTTAAACTAAGAAACTAAACAGTATATATATATATACATATATATATATATATATATATATATATTTAAAACAAAAAAATATTTATTAAAACTTAATCAATTCATCCAAAGACAGAGCTATCTAACTGGCATTGTTTTGTGCCATGCACTGACCACGAGCGGCCAGCATGATGAAGGAAACGAGGAGTACGACCTTGCACAGACCAGTGGACACCATCTTCATTGTGGACGTCAGCATTTTGTAACAACAAATAAGTATGTTAGAATTTTAAATCAACGAATGAACTGTCGGAACAACAGCACCGGTATAAGTACGTTTTCAAATCCACGCAAAAAACGTATTAAAAATGTATTCAAACGTATTAAAACGTATTCAAATTAATGCGATGTTTGTGTGTTGTTGATTATCCTGAACCTATGAAGACCTTTACTCTTTTTTTGAAGAACGTTTATAATAAATCAACATTTTTTGAAGAGTTTAAAGTTTGTGTGAGTTTGTTGTTGAGTGTGTGTTTGAGTTGTGGCTATTGGTAATTTATGATATAATCTGGTTAAAAATTTAGATTCAGTTAGTTGTATTTTTTATCATTTATGAAGGGAACGAGTGACATTTAAAATTAAAACGATGGATGGATGGATGGATGGATGGGATGGACGGACGGACGGACAGACGGACGGACGGATGGATGGGTGGATGCAAGTTTTTGATAGAGTTCGATTAAAAGAATTTTCTCTCGGCTCTACTCAGTTTAAAATTTCATTAAATGATATAAACCATAGAATAAATTCATTTCTGAATATTTTTCAATATTTTTAAAAACATATTTGTCAGTAAATTATTTTAATCTAATAATTTTCCAAATAACATAACGTTGATATTAAAACGATTGTCGGTTATAGTATTGTGAATCACATAGGAGAAGAACTAGAATATCAACTATTGATTAAGTTCAGGCTATTAACATCAGCTATTATATTTCAACCTAACAATATCTTGATGTAGAAGTTATCTTTCTCTTTCTTTCTTTCTTTTTTTCTCTCTCTCTCTCTCTCTCCTTCAAAATGTTTTAATATTCTTTCAATAATTATGTATAAGTAAATGGGTGTGTGCGTGTGTGTTATGTGCGTGTACGCCGTGCTCACGGCTTGCAAAAATTAAATTAATAAAAATTAAAACTGGTAAGCCTTTAATTAGTAAACGTTACTAAAAGTTATTTAGGCTTTCAATACAAATTTAATTTAAAACTTTTTGCCCATCCCTATGACGTTGTTGACTGTTTGGTGGTTGTTGCTGTTTTTCAAACATTTAGAGAGACACGTTCTTGTTAGTTTGATTTATTTTTTGATGGTTTATTTAATAATATTTTTAAACTTAAATTTTATAAATGAAAAATAAATTATTCAGAAAATCCTTTCAACAAATTTAATGATTATGATTTTTAATTAGCGAAATAACATCTGCTGGCGTTACCTTGTGTCTTATTTAAGCTCATCTAATTTTGTCAGAGGCAAAAACTGTCCTAACAAAAAAATTAACTTTTATTGCCGTCTCTGTACTTTATGTAGAAAACCAAAATGTCTGCTTCGCGTTTTTTGGCAAAATCACCTGCCGACTTAAAAAGATTAATCATCTTCCTTATTTTATTAACCTTTTTTGGAGCAACTATTCTGTGATGATTGGAATTTACAAGATTCTGACAAAAGAATCAGATGTTTTTTGGACAGTTAATAGAAGTGACACAAAGAACAACGTCAACAAATACAACATCAATAATTATATCAACACTAACAATGGAATTAACGGCGCGATTATCAAAAGTGTGTTTTGTAAGTTAGACGTAGCCGATGATGACAACGACGACGATGAAGATGGCGGATTTGACAACTATTTAGAATTCGAAAATAAAATTAAAGAGACAAATCTACCAAAATGTTCGAAAAGTAAGTACATTAAAAAAAGAATCTCATAGAAGACAAACAGCAGACGAGAAACAACAACCGACCCAACGACACATTCCGACAGTTAAAGTGGCAATCGGAAGTGGGTTGACGTCAATTTTAACAGGGCAAACTGATTTTTTAAAAAAGATGTCCATGTCCTCTGAATTTCTACCGACATTTTGTAAAACTGCGAGTATAAACGTAAGCGGAAGCATTGTCTAAAAGTTGATAAATGAATGTAACAGCATGACGAACGTATGTAAGAACAATGATGACAACACCAGCATCAACCTACTTCCACCACTAATGTACGAGTACCACTTTTACATTGCTTGCGATTACACCGATGAAATATAAAACGACCTATTCAAGTCAGGCGCATTCTACAGAGCTTTCAACGAAACCGCATCCCTGCTCTGCCCCACTACACTAAAATTAGGACTTCATTTCGTGCGGTGCGACCACACAAAACATCCAGCCTGGGCCAAAAACGACGCCATGGTTGAAGTTTATTTAGATGGGGCAGATTATTTCTACAGTCCTAATGACGATATGCTTATGTTGACCGAAAATTGGACAAATGCATTTGTCCATGTTCTTCTTAATCAGTCAGTGATTTAGATTTTTTTCGTTCAATACGGAAAATCATTATGTTAAGATTTTTTTTTATTCCATTTTAAATCACTATTTTCAAAATAATTAATACTCATTATTTTCTTTCTTTCTTTTCATCACCGTCACCACTTTCACTGTCAAATTCACCATCATTATCAAAATGACATTATACCAACACCATCATCTTCGTCATCATTAAAATCTCTACCACTATAGGTTTGAGTTTGACCCGCCAAACATCGGTGCAGTCGGTCCATATAATCGCGAGGGCAACGTGGAAATATTAACATACGATTTTGTGCACAGAAAACACGTTGAAATATTAGGCTTGTACTATCCGAGACTGTTCACAGATTGGTGGGCAGATGAATGGATCACCAAAATTTACCGACCATGGTGTCGAATCTCACGAATATTTTCAATGCCAGAAATGATAAGTTGGCATTGGAAGATGTTATGAATGTCGTTAAATTTCTTACTGAACCGGGCCTACACTCCATTTTAAACGCAATTTCTGGAAGTATTAACAGTAGTGGCAGTAGTGTTGGTAGTAGCACGACAACTCTTGATGTACATAAAAGTAAAAATGTTCACAACGCTATGAAAAATCGCAATGTCATTATTAACGCTAATGTGTCCTCTAGTTCGGAAACTATCAACGATTATATATATCCGATTAACCAATCCAGCAAAAACTAAATCGCAGCTACAACAACAACATCAGCAACAATACCAGCGAAGACATGAAATTGTAAATCACTTTCAAAACGATTTGAAGGAAAAATTAAAACTATTACTAATACCAAAGCACATTGATTTTTGTTACGTGTCAAAATTCGTCAGATGAGTACAATTTTGTCGGCCAGCTTTTCGACGAACATGATCTTCCATATTTAAATAACGTTGTGTACGATGGTAACAACAACAGTAACAGCGTTTATAAAAATAGAAACAGTGATAGAGATCTAATTGGAAATAAATTTGAGAACTTTCTATTAAATTCACCATCTAGTTTTTGCTCTAACATTTTCTCGAATTCTGGGAGGTAGAAAAATTATAATGTAACGATTTAATACTAAATGACAATTTTGAAGTGTCGTTTACATGTTTTATTTGTTTTATTTATAATTATATCATTCTATAAATTATTGAGTTTTATATAATTCTTGTTTATATTCTGTTTAACAGAATAATTTTACCCAATATCCATCCATTTATCAATTAATCATTCATCAAACTGTTTAAAAGTTCAGGGTGATCAAGAAAGTTAGAAGGATGCCAAAATAGCGAAAATGTTAATGAGATAAAGAAGTCTGAATGATCGGTTGTTAAACAAAGTTATGAAGTGAAGCGTACTAAAGTATATTAAAACAGTTTAGAAACAACATTAAAATGAAATTGCCTTCACTAGTTAATTCCCAATCAAAAGAATGATTTTGTTAGTTTTTTAAAATAATTTCCGTTTAATAAAATTCTACTATAAATTGTATTAAAAAAATTTCGGAAAAGTTGCTTGTGTTTGTGTGCGTGCGTGCATAGGCATGTGCACGCATGTGGTATAGCTTATTACAAAAATAAAAACGGTTAGTTGAAAGTTTAGATTTGGGTTTATCTTTCTTTTTTAATTAATCTTTAAAAAAATTATTAATTAAATTCAAAATATATCTTAAAAAAAACTTTACTCTGAGTTAAGTATTATATCATTGAACTTTTGTTAAAAGTTCTTAGTTTTGTTATAATTATTTGTTGCCAATAAATTTCTAAATGACGTTCCGGGATTTAAAATAAATTAACTTGTCAATGTAAGCAAACATGTTGAAAATAATAATATTATTGGTAACATCTTGCGTTGGTAAGTTTTTCTTATTATTTTTCTCCTTCAGTGTTGGAATGTGCCTACAAAATATTTAGAAAATTATTTACTTGAAAAGTTAATTAACTTTAAATTATTAACTAGATAATTAATTTGTTAACAACTAAACTAGTCCTGTCACTTTGTTAAATTTAGTTCAACTAAAAAATTTTCTGAACAGGTCAAACATTTGTAGCAGTAAACAAAATTGGCGAGGACTGCCTTTTAAACGAGAATTACTGCATCTTCTCCGTCAACATTCAGTCGAAATACACTAAAAACTTGAAAACAGCCAATAAGCATTGCACGCAACGCGAAAACGAATCTTTTCTACTCGAAATTTACGATGAGAAATTACAAAATTCTGTAAACGAATACTTGGCGAGAAATGACATTAGGCAGGATCTCTTTGTTATGAATGCCGTGTTCCGCCAGGCTCAACAGTGGACTTCTATCGTCAAAAATAAATCGCCGAGTAGGTCTTTTGTTTCAAAAAATATTATCGAATTTTCCAAACTGGTAGATTTACAGTTGGATGACCTTTTAATGTCCGAAAATTACCTACAATTCGATTTAAAAGTCGACCGATGATTTAATAAATTTAATTTACAAATTTTTCAATATATTTTATTTAATTCTTTTACAAGTAATTTTCGAGTCTTTATTTAATGTTATACATTCTCAAAGTTCCCTTCAGTGCAGCAGCTGGATTTGAAGTTTCGGAAATGAAGAATGAAAGCTTCCTTCAGCTAACGAAGCGCAAAGATTCGTTGACATTTGAAAGTGAGTCATCTGCAAAGGAGAACCAAATAATGTGCGTGCTACCCAGCAACTCTGAGCAGTGCAACACAACTAAGAGAGATGGTTTGGCTCTCAAGAACAAAAGAAACAGTGCCGGCGTTGGCGATAATCTTTCTTTTTCGAATGAAACGTTTTTGAAATGGAATTCAAGCTTAAAAAATTTAGAAAAAGTTATTAGTACACCAAAAGTATATTCAACATATAAAAAAATTAAACATTTTTTACAATATAAAAAATTATTTAGTATTTTGTCTGATGTAAAAAGAACATATTCATTGAATTCAACAATTTCTATTAACTTGAGAAGTCGCCTTAGAGGATTTACAACTATTCACGATAATTCCAAAGAATCAGAAAAAATGTTGCTAAACAAGACTATACGAAATGTAAATAACAATTCAACCGAAGATGAAAATTTGTGGCAGTTAAAGAAGAGCATCCACACCTTTCTGCAGGCATTGAACTTGGATCTGGACAACATCAATATCTTTTCATCAAATCACAATTGGCAAAAAGTCAACCAAATCGCCACACGACAATTCAAAATCGATCTTCAAAGATTGGATGATGAAAATCTCTCTAAAATGAACTTAACGCGTAAAGAAAAATTAAAATTAATCTTTCTCGTTGAAGATTATTTGCGAGAAAAAGATTTAATTTCGACAAAAAGTAGCCTAAGAATTTATATTCAAAAATTTAAGAACGATTGTTTGGTAATATACGAGAGAGTTGGAAATTGGTTTGACGCTCAAAACTTCTGCCACGGTATGAACGGGGCTCTCTTCGCTTTTGTGGAGAGCAACCATTTTGAAATCTTAAACAACTCCGAACTAACGCGGTCTCCCATTGATATCAACGCGTGGACTGGTACGACGAAGCACGTTTGGAGCTGGTTGAGGAAAAGTTTGTTGACACGTTTCATCGTTGTTACTATGAAATGAACTTGAAACTTATTTAAACACTATTGTTCATTAAACAATTTGTTTTCAATTCATCAAACTTTTGTGGATTGTTGATTGAACAAATTTAAAAGTATGACCATCTTTGATTTATTATTTTCAAGATACATCAATGATTTGGACCAATTTTGATAAAGAGATTTCTAGAAAAAACAAATACTTATATTTTGAAAAAAATAAAACTTGGAAAGCATCTGATAAATGGCTTTTGCATGTTAAGAACGTGAAAATTTTGTGCTTAAGAGGTCAACATTTGAAAATTTTTAATATCACACAACTCATTTTAATTAGAGAAAATTGTGCTCCTTATAGAAAACCCCACAAAAATGGCCTTTACGTTAGAAAAATTTGCAGGTATCTATTTCAAAATTTGTCAAAAAATTCTAAAATGAACTAATTTTTCAGGAAATGAAAAAATTTTTATTTGAACAGTAACCGTAATGATGTTTGTCGTACCAGCCGTCCTGGCAATCCTCCTCTTAATCATGGCGCTTGTTGTTTGGCGGAAAAAAAAGTATGACTTAAAACTATGATATCGAGATTTTGGATAATGTTGCAATCGTTTTTAAATCGTTGTTTTTAAAGTTTTATTTATTATTTCTGACCATTAGATTTAATGACGTTTATGAGTTTCCCTGAATTATTCCAAAAAGTTGTCCATTTCGTGGTGTTAAAATTTGTGAAATGCCTCGTTTGAATGCTCCATGCGACGCAATACTCAAAATCTTTACATAGGTGCATTTCGATTGCATGTCGCTCCATAAAAAAGTGCATGAAATTTTTAAAACTGTACTATTATCTTGAAATGAATAGTTTTTTGTTCATAAAGTTTGGCCAAGAAACTAAACATAAAAAAATAACTTCAATACATTTACGCAATCAGCGATTTCAACAGAAACACAAAATAAATCTATTTTATAATTCAATAAAATAAAACCTTACTTTTTTGACGCTTCAAAAAGAAAAACTTCAACAGCGTTAGCAAAGAAGAACAAACGTCTGCCGTCAATAACTCGAAGACGGAATTTTAATATTTCGAAAACTCGGTCTCTTTCCTCATCACAGAGAAGTTATTCATCAGCCACTGGGAGTATTTATTATATTCATGGTTCCAATTATGCGCCTGGAATGAACAGACCGAGTGCCTATTTCTACTCGACTGGCGCCAGATCTCATGGAAGGGTTTCCATTACTTCTACCAGATCGGCTCCATCCAGGCTGCTCACCAGACCTTCAATTTTGAAGAAAGGGAATAAGAGGAGTCCGAAGGCGAAAAAATCTGTGACCCTGGTGCTGGAGTACGAGAAGAGTGAAGAAAAGATTAATTAATTTTTTTATTATCACCGAATCATTAAACATTTTTTTTAATAATTATGTTAACCAATTGTTATTAGCTTTGTCTTATTTTCAAACTGCGTCATTTTACGGGAATATTTTTTTTTTAGATTTTAAATGTAAAAATACTTTTGTATAAAACTAAACTTAATAAAACTAAGAAATTACAAAAAATACTTTGTAATTAACAGGTTTAAACGTAACAGCACAAAAAGTTGTTTTCAGTAAAAAAATCAAACTAAATTAAAAATATGCAATCTTGTTGTTCGAGAAAATTTTTTTTAGACATGCTGTGGGCTAAATGTCTGTAAAGCGCACTGGACAGAATTTTTCAAGAAAATCTCTTTTTAGAAACACCATCACAAAATTGTTTGCCGAATAAAAGATTTATTGTTTATTTTCTGTTTAATCAAATCAAAAAGTTGTTTAAGACGTTAAATTGAAATGACTTGAAAGCCAAAAAGAAAACTCGTGATTGGCTACCATTCATTATTTAGAAACAGTTAACAAAGAAAGAGACGATCAAGAGACAATTCGAACATCTTTTTATTTCGAATGATTTGTACTATTTTATTAAAACAAACTGAAATATTTTTGAAAAATAAATACTTTTATTCGTTAATTTTATAAAGTAATTACCATAAGTCCTTTGCCCACCAACTATTTTGTTGTAAAATTATTTTTGTGGAAAATTCAGCTAAAATAAATTATAGTTTTGAATGAAAATCACTTTAAAATGTACTTTTCAATCTTGATCATAACTTTTGATTTTTTTATTAACTTCAGTGTAATATTCACCATTCAGTCTAAAAACTCGTTTGGTCGGTGCACTGCAGTTCAATTCTTGATTCATCTCTCTTGAATCACTGCCAGATTGCTCCTGTATGCCATTCCATGTTGGTGCGTTGTCTTTGTTACAGTCGTTTTCATATACCATGTCGTAAAAGTTAGTTGGGATGTGGCCATTAGCTGAGTTACTGTAATTAATATTTGGTTCTGAATATTTTACTATTTTCTGAATTCTTTCCTTTGGTGAGCCTGTTGGCATTTGATTGTCCTGAAATATCGTTGTGTAATTTAAACTTGGACCTGTCATTTTGAGATCAGTAGTTGGGATGTTGCGTGTTGAAATTTCATTCTGATTCGTCGTTCTAGGACACAATTATTTTTAATTTATTTTTAATTTTTAAAATTGCATCACAACTGGCGCAATCAACTTCTTTACAAATTTTTATACACGTAACTCAAATACCTTCGTTTCTTTCTAACGTATATAAAAAGTAGAATTGCAGCCAGAATCAAAACGAGCCCAAAGAATGGAACCAAAACTGCAATGAATATTGTTCTGGTTCTGTCATCTGCTGTATCGATTTAAAATGGAAAAGTAATTCATTATTCATTAGAAATGTTATTTAATTTTCAAACAATTTCCATATTTCATTCAAGTCTTCAATTGTATGTTGTCATCTTTTTAAAACATGTTCAGATTCGTTTCTAGGCTATTTTAAAATTGATGTATATATACATATATATATATATATATATATACACACATATATATATATATATATATATACATACATATATATATATATTTGCCTGAATTTATTCTAAACATCAACATAAACGTCAACAGCAAACACACATTGCATGCAAACACGTATGAATTGGCACATAATCACCATTCATCAATATTAAAATTTGTTTATTCATTATTTACACAAAATTATGTTTAAATATTTTACATGAATTTCAGTAATCAAATAAACCTACTCGCTATGTTTCCAACAGATGAATATATGCTTGGGACATATGTCTTGAAGTCATTCAGACAAACATCAACAGATTTAATTGTTCTATTTATTATGTACATAGTAGCATCATTTTTTACTATAAAGTTGAAACTGATGTTTCCAGATTTGTTTTGATGAAACCAACATCTTGAATTAAATGACATATTAATATTCCACTCGACAGCCACGCATTCATTGGTTCTGTCTCTTTCACAATAGCTCTTGCATTCGTCTATTGTTGTGATTGGACTGTTGGTAGCATGGTCCATGCCCGTGCGGTTGTAGACTTCCCATGAAGAAAAACAATCTTTTAGTATGAATAAAATATATTTGTTACAATTTTTACGCCCGTAATGTTGTGAAATGGAAATTTATATATGTTTATTAGTTTATTATTTTAAAATTCTAGATGAAAGACGATAAGTTTTCTGACCAAAAGATCTTAAATATACCATTTGACCTGGAGGTTGACCTGCAAGCGTTTGCGTCACTATAATGTAATGTATGAGCTGTTATGGATATCAATACGTATCTTGGGGGAGGCAGTTGTGAGCAGTTTTTTAATAAAAGTCAGAAAAAACAGTGTAATATGTAAAATCGATCAAAAATTGAACGTGATAAGTAAACAAAAAAAGATCTTCAGCCACACTCCCACAAATCTTGGCCCCTTTCGTAAAATTTTTGACCACCCCGTGAAAATTTAAACCATTTCAAATTCCCCCTCCCACGTCAAAGTTGTCTAGATTCCCAAACTGCATTGAGGTACCAAACACCAATTATAAATGATGCTTGAAGCTAAGGCAACTCAGTTAAGTTTACAATTAGTTGAATACGATAGAACAGAATGACTTTGAAATAAAATGCCACCAACCTGCCACGCAGATTAACTGAAATTTTGCATCATCTGCGTCGAAACACGTGATTGAGTTATTTTGAAATCCCATTATTTGACTGACGTTACAATTTTTGTCTGTAGAAGTTTTCAATTTATTGCCCAACATTGACAATCTGAACGAAATAATTAAAAAGTTTCATTACTACCTCTAATAGTTGAATTGTTGTTTATCCATTTCCATTTTTTACCATCCATTTCAGCGTTCAAAACGAAAGCAAAACTGCTGCCTGAAAGATGTAAATTATTTAAAAGTTGATCAAGAGCGTTTGAAACGCTAGGATGATGTATCTCCAGAGGCCAGCTGTTCTCCTTGCTTGCAGTACAAATTTGTTGGGCCTGCAAGAGGTTGGAAACGAATAAGTTGGACCCAGGTGAGAACAGGCAGAATGTCTCGTAAGGATCGCACCAGCCAACAACTGGTTCACTACTCTTTAAAGAAGTTTGTGAATTCACAAGCATTAGTGCTGATACAAGTTTTATCATAAAACCAAATCTCATTTTTGCCACAGTCAATTCTTATTACAATACAAGTGAAATATGAATTCACAATTTACTTTTGTATTGTTTTTTTTAGGTCGTGGTTGTTTTAATATCGCCGTATAATTTATTTCAGAACTTCGGTTTCTCGATTTTAACATTGCATCACATCCTAGTTCGAAAGTATACACTCGTTATATTCAACGGTATTGTTAAGCTCAGACCAAGACTAAATTAGTGCTGATAAAAGTTTTATCATAAAACCAAATCTCATTTTTGCCACAGTCAATTCTTATTACAATACAAGTGAAATATGAATTCACAATTTATTTTTGTATTGTTTTTTTTTAGGTCGTGGTTGTTTTAATATCGCCGCATAATTTATTTCAGAACTTCGGTTTCTCGATTTTAACATTGCATCGCATCCTAGTTCGAAAGTATACACTCGTTATATTCAACGGTATTGTTAAGCTCAGACCAAGACTAAATTGTTACCTAACAATTTCGTACATTAGTTATCCACCATTTGAATTGGGTTTGTTTGTGTGTGTGTGCCGTGATTGTGTGCGAAGTTTTTATTTTGTTTGTGTGTGTGAATGTGTGTGTGTGAATGTGTGTGTGTGTGCATCAACTTTTTAAAACAACTGAACTATAGTCTTTTTTACCGATTTTTTTAAATTTACATGAATGAAATGATAAATAATATTTTGAGCGTTTTATTTTTTGCATCATTTCGTTTTATGAAATATAATTTCTTTCAAAAATAATTAGCATTTAAAACTAAATTTTGTGAAAATTATAAATAAACAAATTTATTACTGTGACAATCGTTTGAGACATCCTAATTAGCTATTTAGAAACAACGCGATCAAAACAGTTAATCTCGATGGAATTTTTATTGAGAAAAAACACTAAATTTTTTTTAATTTAATTTACAATCATTCATAATCTAAAATTTTTCTAACTTTTTGAATTTAAACTTTTATACAAATGTTCATGTGAATTGTCGGTTAGATTTGGGATTGTTGATGGCCTGGTGTAAACATCATTGTCCTCTGTTCCAACTTCGTTTCCGTTGTTAACTTCAGACGGCCTGTCATTGTCAAAGAAGCAAATGTAACAAGTCGAAAAAAAGGTTTCTTTTTTAAAACCACAATCAAATATGTAAAATAATATTTATAAATATTTTTATTCGCTGGTTGCTAATGATTTTCAGGAAACACCTCAAACTTTAAGCATAATTGTGAAAAAAAATGTTATCAATCGAAAATGCAAACAAAATCCTGAGTCAGACAAATTCAAGACTTACTTCAAATTCAAGACTTATGAAGACTTACTTCAAATTCAAGTCTTAATTCTCCTAGAAACCATATTGTATGCGAAATTGATTCATAACATAATAAATATAGATATAGATATCAATTCTTATAATAATTTTTTAAGCCGCATAAATAGGAGTTTTTCATTGATGATGTTGCTTGTTTCAGATTGAGGACTTACGAATAATTTTTATACGTTTAAAATTTAGTGGTTCTCCTGCTTGAATATGGGCTAAGCTTGAAATTTTAAATTGTACTTCTTAATAAGAATTAGTAATTTAGTTTTTACGGAAGGTATACGTAAGTTGAGTCAAGTTTCATTTCATATATATATAAACATTCCCACCCCCAATTGCTTTTAACAAAGCATAAAATAATTTGTCTACCCATCAAGTTTAACATAACAATTAACCTTATAGAAACAACATCAAACGAGCTTATGAACAAAACAAACTTGTTATGCTTCCTGTAGCAACATACGACCACAATGATGACAAGGCAGATGACCAACAAGCCAGATACACCTCCTCCCACTGCTTCACCAATGAAGGTTTTCCTAACGGCTGTGTATGTGTGATAACAAATTAGGAAACTTTTGAAAAAAATAATTAAAGTTAACCCACTGACTTTCCACGTTTCCAACAGATGGATATATGCTTGGGACATATGTCTTGAGGTCAATCAGACAAACATCAACAGATTTAATTGTTCTATTTATTATGTACATAGTAGCATCATTTTTTACTATAAAGTTGAAACTGATGTTTCCAGATTTGTTTTGAAAAATCCAACATCTTGAATTAAATGACATATTAATATTCCACTCGACAGCCACGCATTCATCGGTTCTGTCTCTTTCACAATAGCTCTTGCATTCGTCTATTGTTGTGATTGGACTGTTGGTAGCATGGTCCATGCCCGTGCGGTTGTAGACTTCCCATGAAGAAAAACAATCTTTTAGTATGAATAAAATATATTTGTTACAATTTTTACGCCCGTAATGTTGTGAAATGGAAATTTATATATGTTTATTAGTTTATTATTTTGAAATTCTAGATGAAAGACGATAAGTTTTCTGACCAAAAGATCTTAAATATACCACTTGACCTGAAGGCTGACCTGCAAGCGTTTGCGTCACTGTAATGTAATGTATGAGCTGTTATAGATATCAATACGTATCTTGGGGGAGGCAGTTGTGAGCAGTTTTTTAATAAAAGTCAGAAAAAAGACAGTGTAATGTGTAAAATCGATTAAAAATTGAACGTGATAAGCAAGCAAAAAAGGTCGTTAGTCACACTACCACAAATCTTGGCCCCTTTCGTAAAATTTTTAACCCACCCCGTGAAAATTTAAACCATTTTAAATTTCCCCTCCCCCGTCAAAATTGTCTAGATTCCCAAACTGCATTGAGGTACCAAACACCAATTATAAATGATGCTTGAAGCTAAGGCAACTCAGTTAAGTTTACAATTAGTTGAATACGATAGAACAGAATGACTTTGAAATAACATGCCACCAACCTGCCACGCAGATTAACTGAAATTTTGCATCATCTGCTTCGAAACACGTGATTGAGTTTTTTTGAAATCCCATTATCTGATTGACGTTACAATTTTTGTCTGTAGAAGTTTTCAATTTATTGCCCAACATTGACAATCTGAACGAAATAATTAAAAAGTTTCATTACTACCTCTAATAGTTGAATTGTTGTTTATCCATTTCCATTTTTTACCATCCATTTCAGCGTTCAAAACGAAAGCAAAACTGCTGCCTGAAAGATGTAAATTATTTAAAAGTTGATCAAGAGCGTTTGAAACGCTAGGATGATGTATCTCCAGAGGCCAGCTGTTCTCCTTGCTTGCAGTACAAATTTGTTGGGCCTGCAAAAGGTTGGAAACGAATAAGTTGGACCCAGGTGAGAACAGGCAGAATGTCTCGTAAGGATCGCACCAGCCAACAACTGGTTCACTACTCTGTAAAGAAGTTTGTGAATTCACAAGCATTAGTGCTGATAAAAGTTTTATCATAAAACCAAATCTCATTTTTGCCACAGTCAATTCTTATTACAATACAAGTGAAACATGAATTCACAATTTATTTTTGTATTGTTTTTTTTAGGTCGTGGTTGTTTTAATATCGCCGTTTAATTTATTTCAGAACTTCGGTCTAACATTGCATCGCACCTAGTTCGAAAGTATTCACTCGTTATATTCAACGGTATTGTTAAGCTCAGACCAAGACTAAATTGTTACCTAACAATTTCGTACATTAGTTATCCACCATTTGAATTGGCTTTCAATCAATCAATCAATTAGCTTATAAAGCGTTATTTCCGCGATGTTCAACACCGCTCCTCAATGAATTTTAAAAACAGATGGGTCTTGAGATCCGCTCTGAACTTCGCAAGTGATGGAGAAGTAGTCAGAGAAGTAGGTAGAGAGTTCCCGAGAAAAGGACAAAAAGGCTTTGTTTGTGTGTGTCGTGATTGTGCGCGAGTTTTTTATTTTGTTTGTGTGTGTGTGTGTGTGTGTGCATCAACTTTTTAAAACAACTGAACTATAGTCTTTTTTAACGATTTTTTTAAATTTACATGAATGAAATGATAAATAATATTTTGAGCGTTTTATTTTTGCATCATTTCGTTTTATGAAATATAATTTTTCTCAAAAATAATTAGCATTTAAAACTAAGCTTTGTGAAAATCATAAATAAATAAATTTATCACTGTGACAATCGTTTGAGATATCCTAAAGAAGGAAATGTAACCAATTGAAAAAAAACGTTTTTTTTAAACCGCAATCAAATATGTAAAATAATTTTTATAAATATTTTTATTCGCTGGTATCTAATGATTTTTAAGAAACACCTCAAACTTTCAGACTTTGATTGAGCTTAGTAGTGAAATAAAGTTTTTAAAAATATTATGAATCTCTTTTGCAAACAAAATCCTGCGTCAGACAAATTAGACAACTTACTCCTCCTAGAAACCTTATTGTTGGCAAAATTGATTCATAACATAATAAATATAGATATCAATTCTTATAATAATTTTTTAAACTGCATAAATAGTAGTTCCATCCATACCTGTATGGTCGTGGACTTTCCACGATGAGAAACAATCTTTTGGTATAAAATGAAAAAATTGCTTGAAAATTAGGTAGGAATGTGTTGAGTATTTATTGAAAAATCTTTGATGAATGTTTGTGAAAATATTATTTTGAAGTTTTCTAAAAAAAATGTCAAGATCTTTAGAACTGAACCAACCTGCCATGCAGATTAACTGAAATTTTGCATCATTTGCGTCGAAACACGTGATTGAGTTATTATTGATATTTTGAAATCCCATTATCTGACTGTAGTTACAATTTCCACTGTAAAAATTTTCAATTTATTGTCCAACATTGACAATCTGAACAAAGTAATTAAAAAGTTTCAATACTACCTCTAATAGTTGAATTGTTGTTTATCCATTTCCAATTTTTACCATCCATTTCAGCGTTCAAAACGAAAGCGAAACTGCTGGACCCAGGTGAGAACAAGCAGAATGTCTCGTAAGGATCGCACCAGCCAACAACTGGTTCATTAGTTTGAGAGGAAATTCGTGAACTTGCAATGAATATTATTGATAGAAATTTTAGCTTTAATTCATATGTCATTTATGTAGTCATTTTTTTAAACTTACACAAAATTTTTTTGGCGCAATTGCATTTTATTCTCTACTGCATCGTATTATTAGTTATGTTTGCATGTTCGTTTGACTATAAGCCATATCTTCAAATTGAAAACTCGCTTTCAAGCCTAAAACACATCATAGTTCGAATCGAATGTGTGAGGTGTGTAACAGCATTGTTAAGCTCAGACCAGAACTGGATTGTTACGTTAGCTGGCTGGTTAAGTTGCTTTTCGAATATGTTTTTATGCGTGTACAGGTGTTTCATTTTATTCGTGTGTTTTTTTTATTTGTTACACTATGACATATCTTGGTACAATTTTCCTTTACATAGTTGAAAAATTCTTTTTCTTCAAAATATTAATTTATTGTAAATGTTGTACCAGAACCGTTATAGTTGACCTATCACCTGTTTAACGATATTTATGTAAAACGTACATGTGTATTTATGTAAAACGTGCATGTGTTTCTTAACATAATAAATATAGATATCAAATCTTATAATAATTTATAACTTTTAAGATAACTTATTATACTGAGATATCATAAAAATTTGCCAACTTGTAAAAAGCAAATGATGCCAAGTTGATGCTCAAAATTTTTCTAAGTTAAAGGCCTCCACAAATAATTTTGAGTTTTCAGAAATAATTTATAATCTTAATTGAACATTTTGAGGCATCGGCAAATAATTTGAGATCTCCATTATGTAATTAGAAGCATATATTTATTCAGTGAATTCTAATCTAAAGTTCATGGTTCTTAAACTTAATCCTTCTAAGTTTGAATTAATTTGTTTTAATAAGTCCAAACAATCTATTACTATTCCTCCTATTATCTTACCTGATTCTAAAACTCTTGATGTCTCTGATAAGTTTCGTAGTCTAGGTTTTATCTTTGATTCTACTATGTCTCTCTCTTTTCAGATTAATAGTGTTGCTAGAAGCTCTTACTTTCATCTACGTAGAATAAAAAAACTTTTGCCTTTTCTTGATGATCCTACTCTTCTCCTTTTTGTTACTTCGTTAGTCTTATCTAGGATTGATTATTGTAACTCGCTCTACTATGGTCTTCCTGACTCTATACTCTATCCTTTAAGTAAAGCTTTTAACTCTGCTGCTCGTCTAGTTGCTCGTGCCCCTTTCTTTTCTCATATATCTCCATATCTTGTTCTCTTGCATTGGCTACCTATAAAATATAGAATAATTTTTAAAATTTGCACGTTCATGTATAAGTCTCAATCTAAATTATTTCCTAAGTATTTATCAGATATATTAATTGAACCTAAACGCCCCGGTTTACGATCGTCTTCTTCTTCTCGCTTTTTCTTAACTCGTGTTAAACACTCTTTTGCCAAATCTGCTTTTGCTTTTTCTGGTCCTTTTCTCTGGAACTCTCTACCTACTTCTCTGACTACTTCTCCATCACTTGCGAAGTTCAGAGCGGATCTCAAGACCCATCTGTTGCAAAATTTATTGAGGAGCGCTGTTGAATATCGCGGAAATAGCGCTTTATGAGCTAATTGATTGATTGATTGATTGATTGATTGATTGATTGATTGATTGATTGATTCATTGATTGATTGATTGATTGATTGATTGATTGATTGATTGATTGATTGATTGATTGATTGATTGATTGATTGATTGATTGATTGATTGATTGATTGATTGATTGATTGATTGATTGATTGATTGATTGATTGATTGATTGATTGATTGATTGATTGATTGATTGATTGATTGATTGATTGATTGATTGATTGATTGATTGATTGATTGATTGATTGATTGATTGATTGATTGATTGATTGATTGATTGATGGTCAATTATCTTAACTGAAATAAATTCTTTAGTTCGTCGTTTGGTTTACTTTTAAAAGCTCGTTTCAAAAATTTGTTCATTAAATATATAATTTCAGAAAAGTTATAATAAATTAATTTTACAATTATTTATTTGTTTTAATTCATTTTTTTTTATTTTCCATTTTGTTCAATTTAATTATAAATGAAATATCTCAAACGAAATCTCTACAACTTCGAAAACGGAACGCGTGGCAGACAGCGTTTGTACATTTTTTTTTTTTCAATTGAACTTTTTTTAATTAAATATTAAATAAATTCAATTTAAATTCCGTTTACGTTTGTTTATTTTATTAATAATTAATTAAAAATCGTAATTAAAAGTTTACCAAATTAAATTTTATTAAAATAAAACAGTTGTAATGTTGTAAGAAGGTTTTTATATTATTATATTATCATACATTTTATAGTATTTATATACTATATATAAAAAGTATATGGTTATCGATATGGTTGTTATTACAATATATTATATTATATAAAATATAAATAAAATTAAAATTTTTTTTAAAGTCAGGAGACACATGAAGAGTTTGTTAGTGGTGAACATGTACAAATTGAAGATGTTGTTTTTCCTGGGGACAATTTTTTTCACCCTGGTTCTTTTTTCCTATTTTTCCTTTTTTTATTCCTCTAAGGTTAGTTTGTTTTTTGCTTTCTAAATTTAAATAATAATTTTGTTGGCAAAATTTCTTTTATAATTTTATTATCACATTTTTAAATTATAAATCTTATTCTTAATGCTTAATCTATTTATGACTTATGTATTAATATATATATATGTTAATTTAATAATTGTTAAAAATTTAACTGAACAAATTACCAAAGTCATATAAAATATATTAATTTAGGAATTAACTGTTAGCTATCGACATTTCCATCACAAAAAACTCGTCGTTTTCTCTGGTAATAATTTTTATTTGTTAAATTTGTCAACAAAATTTTTTTTCAGAAATTGACTTTTACATGAAATATTTATTTACTCTGAACTGAAATTAACAGACAAAGTCAAAACAAAGTCAAATTTTTTGGGACATGAGTTGACAAAACTTTCACTAAACAACTTGAACTCCATGTTGAGACATGCATGGAACAATTATCACAAATATGGCTGGGGGTCTGATGAGTTGAAACCTCAGTCGGCCACCGGACACAATTGGATGAAGTTAGGGTTGACCATTATCGACTCTCTTGATACTTTGTACATTATGAACTTTTCAAAAGGTTTTTTATTCACATTGTTTTGTTAATATTTTTTTTAAAGGCTCCGCCCATACTATTTAGATTAACATTGATATGAATGAAAGAAAGATAGATGAATGATAAAATGAATGAATGAATGAATAATGAATAATTGAGTTAAGAAATGAATGAAAGAATGAATGTTTTTATTTATTCAAACTTATATACAAACAATACAGAATATGAATTAGGCAAAGAGTGGGTGATTGAAAATTTGCATTTCAATAAATCAAGAATGGTCGATTCGTTTGTTCTCATAACTCGAATACTCGGAGGCCTTCTTAGCATATATCACTTAACAGATGATATTATTTATCTGCAAAAAATTGTTTGTATGAAAGCCATTATTTATTTTAAAGTTTAATAAATATAACATCAAATCATAAATCCAATCACTTAGAAAGAACTTTCTCCAAGGCTCAAGCCATGTTTCATTCGACGTAACACAAAACTACCATGCCAAAATGTCAACTTGAAAACAGGAAAAGTGACAGATCCAGCACATCACTACATTGGACCCCTCTCCTCGATGCTGCTTGAGCTCAAAGATTTGGCCCATCTCACTGGTGATAGATTACTGTTGGTTGGTTGGGTTGGCTGGTTGGTTGGTTAGTTGGTTGGTTGGTTTGTTGCTTTTCTGCTGTTTCTAGTGTAGTTCTAATTCAGTTATATTATTTTTATTCATTTTTACTACTATTATTATAATTGCTCTGTATTTGGTTATAATTGGTGTTATAATTGTTTGGTTGCTTTGTTGCTTTTTAGCGTAAATTCAATTCAATTATTATTTTCATTCATTTTCATTATTATTGTTTTTTTTCTAATTTGTATAATTGTAGGCGTCAACAGACTACATGTCGTCAATAATCTCTGATGCAGTTAGGAGTGAGGATGATTTGGTGCACGACCTCATCGACCACCATTCCATGTCGGCCGATCCCGACAGTCCCGTTCAGATTGGCAGGAACAGCGTGGGATACTATGAGGGATTGCTGAAGTTGTGGCTGCAAAGTGGTCAGAAAAATAAGGGGTTAGTTCGTTGGTTTGTTTTTACGACTGCTTTGTTTGTGGTTGGTTGGCTGGCTGACTAGCTGGTTGTTTAGCTTATTGACTTATTTGTCTAGTTTTACTGTTTAGCTGGTTGATTGATTGGATGATTGACCAGTAAGGTCTCTGGTAACTTTAAACACTCACCTACATACAGTATGACAACCATTAATTCTTCATAAGGTTAGAGGTAATCTTCCCCAGAACAATATCGGGCATAGAGAGTCATTTGCTCAGGACTTACAATGACACTGATGGTTATCTCCTTTACTTCAATTCAACACTCAGTAAACCTAAACCTTACATGGTTGGTTGGTTGATTGTTTAGTTGGTTGGTTGGTTGGTTGGTTGGTTGGTTGGTTGGTCGGTCGGTCGGTCGGTCGGTCGGTCGGTCGGTCGGTCGGTCGGTCGGTCGGTCGGTCGGTCGGTCGGTCGGTTGGTTGGTTGACTTGTTAATAAATAATTTTGTTAATGAATAAAAATAAATAATAATAAATAAATGAATAATTTCGCAACTGATAAGGAGGAGGAATCGTGTAAACTACCAGGCTTATTGGCACTTGCCTCCATAGTCAAATTGGGAGAGCCGAAACTAAAGATGGCGCACATACTTGCCGGGACCTGCATTCGAATGCACGACAAAACCGAACTCAAGCTCTGTCCACTTTCTGTTCAGTTTGCTGGCAGGAGGGGGAAGACCACAACTATGTCTCTGAAGGTTTGGTGGGATTGGCGTTGGCGGGGATGAGTGGAGAGCTTTGTTTGGCTGGCTGGTTGGATTGTAAATTGAATGAATTAATGAATGATTGATTTGATTGATTTGATTGATTGATTGATTGATTGATTGATTGATTGATTGATTGATTGATTGATTGATTGATTGATTGATTGATTGATTGATTGATTGATTGATTGATTGATTGATTGATTGATTGATTGATTTTTATAAGATGAGGTTTTTTCTGATCATGAAGACTCATATGTTTGTTTGATGTGTTCTGTTGATGTTCATCTATTGGTAGTATGTAATGAATCTTATCCACCGTTTAATTTTGGTTTTTAAAAATTTCTTCAAACACCCGTCACCACTCCAATGTTAATTTGTCTATTTCGTAGATCTCCCACCACGAGTGAATGTAGAAATTACTTTATTCTGTCAGGATAAAAAGAGTACTCTAGCTTCAAGTACATTGGAAAGTTTGATGTACCTGGCAAGGACTGACGTTCTCAACCAGTATAAGTACTACGACGTTGCAGTTCATATCTGCAAGCATCTCTTCCAGAGCACCTGGTCAGCACTTTTTATGAAAAACTAATTTTAAAATTTTCGGTATGACCATTTAAAAATAACCTTAGCAAAGTTTCTAGGGTTTATAAGTGGTTTTACATTCATTACAATTATGATAATGAAGTGATATGAAAGCGTTAGATTGGAGAAAAGAAACTATAGTTCAAACCCTAACTTGGTAGGTAGGCCTGATGCTCGTGAGAAGAAAGGATGTTATTGAATTTAATTCTTGATGTTTATTTCACTGGCCTATTTTTTTTTTGTTTTGAATCCAATAAACAAGAGCATTAATGCATTTATTTAATTTCTCGTCAGTTGAGTAAACCAGTGAGAACAGTGTATGTATTCTGCATTGTATTAAGTAACGCGAATAATTTTTTTTAATTCCGAATAGATACCCAACCCATCGTTGTTTTTCATTAAAATCAGGTTGAATCATGGTTTCGCAAGTAGGCTGGATGTCAACAGAGTCAAATCAAAGTACCACGATGTTATGGATAGCCATTTATTTTCCCAGACCTTTAAATACGCCTACATGATCCTGTCCAATAGGAGCATTAATTTCAATGATTTCGTATTCACTAGTGCTGGCCATATACTGCCCGTACGACGTTGAATAGATTCGTTGAATAGATTCAAACGAAGATTGATTTCTCCAGTTGGAGAGTTCTATATTTTAATTCCGCTCGTCTGCGTATTAATTCGTTTTTGATGGTAGACGTATTTTCACCTTTTTTAGTTTCTTTGGTTTAATTTATTTTAAATGTATTTGTGTTTCTGTTGTGGAAGTGTTGGAAATATAAAAATGAAAAAAAAAAATGGAATAACAGAGCGCCTGATCGCTATTCTTCACACCCTTCTTGCCTACCTGGTTGTCATGGGAACCAGGTACACTGATCAATGGTCGAAATGATATGATGGTTAGAAGTACATGAACGTTAAAATTCATGCTTCGTGATTAGTTGAAACATAATTTTACAAATTTTCGTGATAAACTGCGTTAATCGTTAATTTTTTTTAGATTCGTGATTAAGTGGCTTAGGTTGGTTATACATTTGTTGTGTGGGAACTTGCAAGAATAAAATCTCACCTGATTAGAAAGCGATTGGTAGAAAAACTAAACCGGTATAAGAAAATGGAGGCGTATATGACTGCTTCTCGTTTCGACCAATCAGCAAGAGGGCCTCAAAATTCGCTGTATGATAATAACTTTAAAAGTTCTTATGCCGACAAAGATGAAATGATGAGGTTGGACGATAACTAAAAGCTATCATCGATAATTTTAAAAAATTTTAATAGTCCAAACTTTGCTAGCATAACATTTTTCAAATTTCAGTAGTTACTCGACAAAAGCCACAAATTTTGAACCGCCAACAGACAACCAATGCCAGCATATGATAGTAGAGAAGTCGGCCCAGGAACCACGCACATGCACTCCATTCAGAGATCCACAACCAATCTTCCATGGAGATCCAGCACTTACTATGGCGCATCAACCGGAAACAAATTAATCCCGAACGCCAGGAGTATGCCCGAACCTCACCTGGATGACTACAGACTGGGAGCACTGGATCCGGTTAAAATACCGCCCGTGTTTTCTGCTGCTAGGAGCAATCTGTATACCAGGTTTGCAGTGTTTGTGTGTACATATCTCAGTTTTTTTTCACTCGCAAGGTACATTTTGCAAATTTAAGTTTTATAAAGTTTAATAATGATTTAGTGATTGTTTCTTTTGTTAACAAATTTAATCACTAACTCCCAACCAACAAACAAACCAACTAACAAACCAACCAATCAATCAATCGGTACTTTTTCGACTAAGGTACACGCCAACTGATTGGAACATTTGCAACGTCGTCAACGGTGTTGTCACAGAAAAAGTAGTGGCGGGCTCTGAAGAGCTGAGAGGCAATGCCACCAGGCTGTGTAAAGAGCTGGACGACAAGACGAGGCGAACCCAAGAAGATGTGAGCAGGAAACTAGGTGGAGTAAATGTTTTCACTAGCGAGTTTTGAAATGTTGGGTCGCAGTTTATGAAGCAGTCAGAATGTGCTTTCAATTTGTTCATGTAATGATATGTGAAAATGTTTCTCTAGCTTCTTTCACCTGTTTAATAAGGAACGTCTTCTAAATTTTCGCTGTTCAGTTTATTTTGTATATAAAATGTATATAGAGCATAACAAACAGCATGTGCATGCACCCACCTACACTACACACACAAACAAACACACACACGTAAACAAACACACACATGCACACACACACACACACACACAGATCTAAATAGTACATTTTTACATTCAACGTCTAGGCGAAAGAATTGGAAACATTGAACAGTGGAAGAGCGAAGTGAAAGCTGAGATCGACGACATGGTGAGTGAAATTGACGCGCTGGATAAAGCTAAAACATGTTTAGCTAAAACTCAGCTGGATCTAGACGTACCACTGAAGATAGCTGAAGAATGTTTGTACAGTCGTGAGAAGAGGAGAGGAATTGATCTGGTCCATGATGAAGTCGAGAAGCAGCTTATCAAGGTCTGGGCGGAATTCTGAGAAATTCTTTCATTAGTTTTAAAATCAAATTTCTAGATATTATTATTTATTTCTAGTATTTTAGTAATTTATTAATAAAATTTTTGATTAATTATCAATTAATCGCATAGATATAAATAATTGTGATAAATATTACTGACATAAACGTTTTCAATTTGAAAGGAGATTGATATCTTGAAAAGTAATCAGGAAAACTCTAGAAGATTAGTCGAAGATGCAGCGGCTCAAATAGCGTGAGTCGCTTTTTGCACTAATCATCTACTGTGAAATTATTTATTTAAAATATTTTAGAATTTATTTACCTCTTATATAATTTTTTTGTAAATTAATTGAAAATTGTTCAAGGAACGAGATAGTTTAATAGCTACAGGGTGTAGTTTTTTTAAATTACTGCGACCATGTTCGAATGCAAAGAGATCCTCATCACTTGAAATGTGTGTGTGATTGATGTGTGGATTCACGCGTGTTTGTTTATGTGTGTGTGCGGCTGTTTGTTTATGTGTGTGTGTACGTGTGTGTGTGTATGTGTGCCGTTGGAACCTCCGAAAATTAGTTAAGAAATAATTAGTTAAGAATAGTTAATGACTATGGCAAATACAAATTCATTTATTGACATTTCGTTTTGTGACCGTCCCACAACAAACGCCAGTTTGAATCGAGCGGCCCTGCACGAACTTGAGAAAGATCTGGACGATAAGTTGGTGGCCTTGAACTTGGACAACAACTGCCACAGGATGAAGGACTCCACCAGATCTCTACATTACTATGATGGCGTTCATCGCGTCGATAACTCGTTCGGGATTTTATTTCTTTTTTGAAGTTTGGCTTAAAGATGAGTGTAAAATGAGAAATGTGTAAATTAAAATATAATTAACCGATCAATCAATTAACCAACCAAGCAACAAACAAATAAACTAATTTACTAACCAACCAATCAACCAACCAACCAAAAAACCAACCAATTAACCAACAAAACAACCAATTAACCAATTAACCAACAAACCAATCAACCAACCAACAAGCCAATCAACCAACCAACCCAACACAGAACTTCAATCCCTGTAACCTGGGCTCAGTTCAGCGCCGACAACATTCGAAGGTCAAGGGCGGAGAGGCTGAGATCACGTGACATCCGGAAATCAATCGAGGGTTTGTGTAACGGTGTGATGGACGAAGTGAATGATCAGTGGAACAGAGTGAATGACGCCCTAGAAGATAGGCTGAAAGAGTACGCCGATGCTAAGAATAAACTTCAGTACAATTTGACAAAGGTTAGTTAGTGAGTATTTGTGCGTGTTTGTGTGTGTGCGTGCGTGTGTGTGTGTGTGTGTGTGTGTGTGTGTGTGTGTGTGTGTGTGTGTGTGTGTGTGTGTGTGTGCAAGTTTAGTTGGTTTTTTATGCTCATTGATTACATTTCAAAACCTTCAAACCATGAAGCTTTCTTTCTTTTAGAATTCTTTTACAAGAATCTTGTAAAAGAATTACAGGCCGAAATTGAAATATTTTTCAGACCCTGCAAGAAATATTGGACCAGGAGAAAGCCATAGAACTGTTGAGGGTGTCGATCAGAGAGAAGGACTCCCCACTACAACTTGCTCAGACCAGGCTGGTCACCAGACTGAGAAGGCCAAACATGGAAACGTGTAAAGATTCAGCCCAGCATAGGTTCTTTACTTGTTTGTTTGTATGTTTCAGTGTGGTTTGTCTCTCTTCTTCTCTCTTTTCCTCTTTTTTTCTTGCTATCTCTTTCTCTCTCTCTCTTTTTTTTCTCTCTCTCTCACTTTCTTCCTGTGTGTGTGTATCACGTTGTTTTTGTTGTTGTTTAGATAACAAGATTTAAAAGTAAATTTTTTGTATTAAGTAATATTTTGACGAACGCTGCCCGTAACTTGTCGGAGTTCATTTTGAAAATTTGTGTTAAAGAATCATCGTAGCTGAGTGACATGTCTAAATTACAAACACGAACATTTTAGCACGATTAAACTAGATTTAAAACACAATTTTTTCATTAAGCTATGCACTGATTCGTTAAAATAATTTCAAACTCTCCGCACACGAAGGCTGGTCGGCGAAGTGTACGAAATAAACGAATCGGTGGACATCCTGCGGGCCAAACTGAGGCAGTCGGAAAACGCCCTCCAGCACCTGCTGAAAACAAAACTGAGCCTGGAGCATGACCTTGACATTAAGAACAACAGCATCGTCATCGATCGCGAGAAGTGCCTCGGCATTCGTCGTAATTATAATTTTCCCCTCGCCAGATGCATCTATTCTTTTTAATTTTTTTTATTTTATGACCGTGACATCATCGTGAAATGTTAAGGTGACCATGTCGCTGTGACTAGGTTCGAATGCCGAGATCCTCACCCTCCAAATGCATACTGAGTGTTGAAATACTAAGGATGATTTGTAAAAAAAATGTTAATAATACAAATTTAATAAAATAAATTTTATTTACTTTTTGATTTATACCTCTAAGGGTTAATATGTTGTAAGCACTTGCAAATGCGTACTTCTCTATTACATCGGCCGTGAAAATGTATAAACGTTTACTATCTGACACATAACTTTTTATGTGTATTTTTATAGATTTTAAAGTTATAGTACGTTGAATTTTATTAAAACGTCTTCAATTATGAAACAATTTTTTTTAGTTCAACAAAACTGTGATGAAATTAACTTTTTTTCAAAATTATTTTTCTGAAATATTTTTAATAATAAATTTTTTGAAATTTAGTTAAAATATAGCTTAGTTAACACAGAGTTTTTTTCACTACTAACAACACTTGATTCACTTTGCTTTCATATAATTTTGTATTCACGTGTATATTAAATTACATTATATTATATTATAATAACCTATATTTTAAAGTTTATTTCAAGTTTTATATATTTAGAATAGAATAAAGAAGATTTGAACAAAAAAAAATGGGTTTTCAAATTTACACGCTGAATCTTCAAACGATCCGACAACAATAAAAAAATAATGAGTCACGAATTCGCTTGCTTACATTGCATTGTGTATTATATAGTATTGTATTTGTATTGTATTTTGTATTTTTTAATTGTATTTAATACAATACAATAAAAGATATTTGTAACGCACTATACTGTAACGCATGTACAACTAGAGAATTGTATCGCGTTTTGATGTATGTTTTTGAACTTTTTGGTATTGTGTTCTGTGATATTATGTTCTGTATTGTATTGTATTGTATTGTATTGTATTGTATTGTATTGTATGGTTTTATATTGTGCAATATTGTATTGTGTAATATTGTATTGCATTGCATTGTATTGTATTGCATTGCATTGCATTGTTATTCATTGTATTGTATTGTATATTGTATTGTATGGTTTTGTATTGTAAGGTATTGTTCTATTTCGCTATACGTTATTTATTGTATTGGGCTATAGCCTATTATTTTAGAGTATTTTATTTGGTAATGTATTCATGTTGTATTGCATTGGGTATTTATTGTATTTTGTGGTATTACATTGTATTTCATAGTTGGTGTGGCGTGTTATATGTATGTATGGATGTTTTATAGCATGTGGATTGTTCTGCTGATAATATGTCGACCCATGTAACGGTCAAACAATATCTATAAATCACGCGAGTGTAATGAAAAGGGAATATGGATGAATGAATGAATGAATGAATGAATGAATGAATGAATGAACGAATGAACGAATGGATGAATGAATGGATGAATGAATGAATGAATGAGTATTGTTTTGTAATAATGTTTCTTTTAATGTTTCCAAAAAAAACAATTGTACAAAAAATGGGAAGTAAGCAACATGAAAAAAGACGCCATTTTTTGAGAGAGAGAAAGATGAAAGTCGTCCCGAAAACCGTTCCAAAAGCATTTCGGCTACACCACAGTTTATGACAATCACATATCAACAGGAAGTTTTTTTTTCAATTCAAATTTGTACTGCTTAATAAAGATGTTGTGTATAGACTGAGAGTAAATGTTTTATCTAAAGCAATCCAAAATTGTTAAATATATTATAACAATAAACATTTACTGCAGACGACCATAATGGAAAGAGAACAAAAATTTAAAAACTTTATGAAAAATTGTATAACTGGTAATTTGAAAAAAAATGCAAATGTTTGTGATAGTGTCTAGCATTAATGTTTTAAATAATATTATAATTAAATAATTTTTGGGTGATTAATTGAATATACAAATAAGAGCGGATCTAGACAAATTTAATATAAATATAATTACATATTAATATTATTCGAGTTATTTATTTTTTTATTGATCTGTGAAGTTTTGGCAAATATTCCTAAATCAGCTTATGGGGCATAAGTAACTGCTTCTAGGTAAAGTTGTTGGGTGACGAATCATTTTATTACGAACGATTATTTTTATTTAATTGTTTATTATTCATTTATGTTATATCATTAAAATAACTTATCTATCTTTATCAGTACCTTCAATCATTTTTTTACTCACATTGCATCAATAATAATGTTATATCTATTACCAGGTTCCTTTTATTATTAATTTATTTTTATTTATATTTACTAAACAATTTGTTTAAATGTTCAACAACTATTAAGTAAAATAGCAAAGAAGCTGTTGATGATGTTTGGCTGAAAGTTTATAAATATATGAAAATGAGAAACAACAACGGGATCAAATAATGAATTATAATGTGTCGTATATGAATGGGCTACATCAAAGTCATCATAGATCCGACCGACACTGTAAAAATATCAAGTTATTGTCATCTTGTTACAATACATCAAGTAATATTTTAAACTGTCAGAGGAATAAAGTTAGATAATCAATTGAAACATTCGCGCGTACGGAAGATATGTTATACTTAATTAAAAACACGATAGCATACCAATAAGTAACGGTTTTCTATCTTATGTTGCTCACGAGAAAAATTATCAAAAAAATATATGTTCACCAGTAAATTGTCTAAATTTTTCACCAGATTCTAATTACACCAATTGGAAATAGTTTCAATATATGATATATACATCCAAGATAAGAGAAACATCTACTGTACATATGCAGGCAATACTACAGAGCATCTTATAGGTACTAATATTTCAAATTTTTATTTGGAATCATGAAAAGTTTGGTTTCACTTTGTTTTATTAAGTTTCATCTTGTCATTGCCTTGTTACTGGTCAAAACAACAAGAAGATGTGTTAAGAGTGTGGTTACACCAAGAATATCTCAATGCCAACGGACCAGATTCAGAAGTTCTCTCTTAAATACAGTTCTGTAATGTCATCATTGAGTAACACGTGTCGATACATTTGAAGAGTTTGATGGAATAATTAAATTTTTTTCACCGGAGCAAGACAGTTTTAATAGAATGATTCCTCTGTTGTGAGACGAGCTTTCTTGGAGCCCATCCAGTTTTCGTAATCATTCTGTTGGCAGTTGGGAATACTTTTGGCGGACTCGTAGATGGGACTCAACTGCTTGTATCCGTTTTGTTGGTTGAGCTTGTTCAGTTGTTTGAGGTTTTCGTTTTCGAGGATGTTGTTGATGATTTTCAAGTCGTTGTTGAGTTGCGAGGTTGAGGTAAATGTGAAGGTTGGGTAGTTGATTTCGACGGGGCTCTTGAAGTTCATTTCTTCCGTCTGAGATGGCTGCGGGTTGATGGAAAGTTGTTTGCTGGGTTGACTGCTGAACTGAATCTGAGTTTGTTTGTTGTCAGTGAACCAATCGTGTTTAGCGTACGAAGGACTGGCATTGTTTTCGACCAATGGAA